AAAGTTTGCTGGTTGCGAGGCATCACTGGATGAGAATGCTTCAAATAAAATCAAGACAACCAATAGTAGTAATGAGATGAATAATAGGGGCCGTAAATTATGGGATAGGTTTTCTAATTATGTGAAAGACATAATAGACCCATGCTTAACATCTAGGCTTCAACTTCCTAAAGTAGTTGATTCAACATCTCCAAAAGTCCAATTATTCATGTTATTTCAATTCCTCTTATTCAAGATTCATTCAATAGTAGTTTAAGCTTCAAATTTTACAATTCAAAGTTTCAAAAATATAAAAATATTCACCATTCCAAATTTAAGATCAAACATTCATCCAATTTTTACATATCCAAATTACATTCTTCATTTAAGCTTCACAAGTCCAAATACAATGTCCATTTTGCTTAGCCTAACCATCACTCTCATGCCATAAGCCATCTTCTTTCTTTCAAACGGCCAATGCCTACACCATGAAGAAACACAAAATCAGCCCTACATTAAGTATTGTGACAACAGAAAATCAGGAAAAATGTTATATCTAAAGAGGAAAATCACCGAAATAAAAAACGTTGGGAGAAGTTTATAAGCCAGCTCATCAAAGCAGAAGCAAAAGGCAATGAGAAAAACTGAGTAAAAATATTGTTGCCTCAGTTCACACAGAAAATGTAGATGAAAATAAACCAGGGATTAAAAATATAGAAAGAGAATTTCAGAGCAAGCTTCATATCAGATTGAACAACCCAACATATATCAAGCTTCTATAACAAGCTTCATAATAGAATTTCAGAGAAAAAAGAACTTTCAATCTCAGCTCTTCATTTTTGCAACAAAATTTCTAAATCAAAGGTTGGGATGGCTTTACCTGTAACAAACTCTTGTAACTATAAATTTGAACTTCTGCTTCAATCTTGGGAGACACGATCCATTGCTACAAATACTTCTAAGAGAAGCTTCAAAGTTCTCTCTGAGGCTTCCACGATTCATTATACATTTTTCTCCAAACTTCATCTCTCCAAAACTCACTCTCTAACTGCTTCTCTGCACAACTTTATCTTCATCAACAAATCCGAATTTGCTTCTCTACAACGATAATCAACATCACCCATACTTTATCAAACCTGCATCATCTTCAACGCTATTGTAATCTGCTTGCATCGACTTATCAATCTGCATCCATCAAAACAATAACAGAAACTCATACGCGAAGAATCAGTGGAAACAAATCGTAAAAAAAATCTGAAGATGAAGTGATTTCAAAGAAGCAAAGGAAGCGAGTTTACCTCTGAATTTTCTATCCTCTTTACTGATTTGAAGAAGGCACCAGACTTGCCTCCGGTAGCACTTGAGGATTAACTTGGTTGATCGCTGGTGGAGTTTCTTGTTGGTTAGACGGTTCTTTTCCCTAGCTTTTACCTTATGCTTTAGGATAGTCCCTTCATCTCCTCCCATCTTCTTTAATTTCAAAAATCTTCTCCCTTCTTTTGAAAACTCTTCTTGTTTTAAAACTTGAGCCGCTTTCATAATAAACTTGGACTGAGGTCCATGTATTTTCAAAATATTTTCTTAATCAAACTTTAATCAATTTAACAATACTTTGACATTTTTGTGAGAAGACTAAAATTCAATCAATCTCATTCAAACCATTTTTCCATTTTGGCTTTTTACTTTAAAATTTTCTCAAAAGATTAGACTCTTGTCAATCCTTGTAGTGATGCGAGCTACTATACTTTTATGATATGTAGTGAAGCGAGATATTTTCCACTTGGGTGTTGATCGAGGCTTTGTTGATTTTAAAATCCAAATCCATATCCTCCACTTTGAGGTTATGCAAATTCTCCTTTCTAATAATTGTGCATAGTAAGTATGTTTTCCACTCGGATACAACGATGATGTCTCGTCTTTTAAAATCAACCAACACACTTGTGTTTTAAATTTTTTAAAAGGTGAACTACGAGCACCCTGATCCCCTATTGCATGGAAGGTCGTACGTAGGCACTAAAGATTCGCAACCGCGGCGGGTGCAAAAATCATAAAAAAATACTTCTTTTCTTATCTCCAAAATCTATTTTTATACAACATTTTATATCCAAAATATACATATTTACAAAGAGGTTCCTGCGGAGTACCGTAGATGTTTAGGGTGCTAATATCTTCTCTTTGCATAACCAACCCCCGAACTTAGATTCTCTCCCCCTCTTTTTGGTTATTCGCTCTTTTCCCATTCCTTTGGAAACAATAAAGCGCGGTGGTGATGTTTATTTTGATATGTGCGAGTTAATTCAATCCAATGGCTTTGTCTCAACATTTCTACTTCTACACAAGGTTGTCGGGGATGTGGAAGTCCTCAGGCCTTGAGATGTCGAAGGCTATCTAGAGGGGACCAGGTTCATCGAATGATCGGGTATCCTCCTCAATTTCTTTAACCTCGTAGGTATCCCGACGAGGGTCGTAATTCCGTTTGTATTTCCCGAGTCTCACTGCCTTGATGAGAGTCTCGATAGCATCCTTCAGGTGGATGCAGTCTTCGATTAGGTGATCGTGGCTCAGGTGGTATTGATAGTATTTTTTATATCGTTCGGGCTTTGCAGGGGCATCGAGGATGCCTGATCCTGCCATCCTTGAACTCAACATTGGAGCACTCTACAAGGATACACTCGCGGAAATCGGTCAGCAAGGTATACTCGGTGAACCACCCAACTGGTCCCCTGTGCTCGCGGGGGTCGTGAGGTTTCTCCTTTTTCCCTTTTCCCTGTTCGTCGAGAAGGGCCTGCGTCACTGTGTCGCAGGACATTAGTTGGTCCGCAGTTCCTCAAATCGTGAGCGTTGTTTGTGGCCTTGTTTTCCTCATAGTCCATGTATAACCAATATTTTTCGAGGAGTGCATCAAAAGACCTGGGAGGCTCAATGCCAACGGCCTTTCCAAATTCAGTGCCCGGGAGGAGTCCCCTCTTAAGCAAGTATCTTTTCATGTGATCGGCGCATGGGACATGAATGGCCTCACGATTGATCTGATCAATGTATTCTTTGAGGGTCTCATTGCTCCTCTGGACGATTTCCTCGAGGGCGACCTCAGTCTTCGGGTGCCGACGAGATGTAGTGAATATTTTGATGAATTGGTACTTTAAATTCCTTACGAGGTGATCGACCTAGGGGGTAGGTCCTTATACCAGTCCATGTCCATTTTTCTCAGTGTCATGGGGAACAACCAACACTTAATAAGGGCCTCGATGTTGTGATAGTGAAGCATGACTTAAAAGCCATAGATGTGGTCGACGGGGTCAGCAATTTCGTCATATTCCTTCAGAAGGGAAGGATTCTCCATCCCTTTAGGAATAAGGGCTTCCATGATGGCCTGGGACAACAGATTGCAGGGGTCGTCTTCGTCGCTTCTTTCTAGGGAGTGAGATAGGGATAGGTAGTAGTGGAGGTCTTTGTGTCGGTTTTGGTCCCGGGGAGGGTTCCTCGACCGAGACTTCTTCTCTTCCTCGCCCCTGTTTCTTTTATGTTCAGGGGATCGTCGCTCTTTGCGTAGGGGGGGTGTGATCACGTTTCTTGACAGCTTCGGGATGGGTCCTCTCTAATGTAGAACCTCGTCCACTTAGACAGAGAGAAGGGCTTCGAGAGTCGTCCCGTCTGTGTCTCCGCGGGGGAGATCGAGAGCGGACCTTGTTTCAGGGAGGAGGAGTTCGAGAATAAAGTCTTTGGTGCCTTCTGGGGGGCCGGAGAGTCTGTTCCAGCATCATCAGGCACTCACCCTGCACAAAGATCATGTGGTTTATGTGGTTGATCACTGCGAACAAGGCTCTGGTCGTGACATCCGCATTTTCAGGAACGATGATCTCCTGATACGCAGTCGGCTCGTAATTCTACCGAGGATGGTGGATGTCGTCGCGTGGTTGCGAGGGTGTGGAGGAAGATGCAGTCCTCCTGTCCCAGAGGTCTTGCTCAGGGGCGACAACATTGTTGTTTTCACCCGCGTCGGCAAAGTGAACGTTCTGGTCATTGTTGAAAGCTTGATCGGCCATGACAACACGAAGGTTGAAGGTGTTGCTTTGGTCTTACGCGAATGAAAGACGAGGAAGCCTTATTCCCACAGACGGCGCTACTGATCGTGCCTAATCAGAAGAGATCGTCAAAGCTCACAAGCTTCAAGTCGGACAACGGTTGAATGTGATGTGAGAGGGATACTTGCAAGACACTTTGATGCCAAAGTAAGGTTCAGAGCAAGTGTAAGTAAAATGTAAAAGTATGGATGAATGAATCAATTCTTGACCGTCTCAAGTGAGAGGGTATTTATAGCCTCCAACGCTGAGTCAAGGTCTTCATGTTGCGTTGATCAAGCAGACCCAAAATAGAGACTATCAGGTCCTACGTGTGTAGTGGAGGCTAACATGTGGTCTCCAACCTGAATGGACTCCTCCGAATTATCAAGAAGGCATGAATATGGTCTTTTCGAGGTCAAGAGAACTCTGTGATATTCAGAGGCGTTGAATGCCTGCCCTACGAGGAGGGTGCTCGCGAGGACCTCTTGAGTGTCGTTGATCCTCCTCGCCAGTCATGTGGTGAGGTTGTCCCCGGAGGACATATCCCGACCGACGAGAGATGTAGAATCACTGCCCAACATGGTCAAGGACAAACTCTTTCATACTAGTCTTCTCCTATAGAATAGTTGAATTGGGCCTTGTGTGATGTTTGAGTCAAACGCAGATCCAGTCCAGAACATATTTCCTTTGATAAAAATCTTCTTCCTCTCATCGATTGAACCAAATAAACCCTTAAATAAAGTCGGGTTTAACCCAATATATTTCTACCCACATTAGGTCCTACCATAGTTTTTTTTATACTTCATTCAAAAATATTTTATTCAATGGTGAGGGGTATTTTGGTATTCTTCAAGCCCAAAACCTTACTCAAGAAAGAAAACTTTTTCATTGAATCGTGTACATTTTTCCCTTTCTCGAACATACTAAGGTTCTTCCATCATCCCTTGCGTGTTTTAAAAAATGGCAGCGTCGCGGTTCAAGCAATACACGTACATCCCCCAAAATCCTCTACCCCTCTCCCCTCCCCGTGTAACCCCAAAACCCAATCCCTTCGACATGTACCGCGACGAAAAAGACACTGTCGTCCAGACCATCCACGTCGAAGAGGAGAGCGTCTTCCCGGTCATCGACGACGGCGTATACCAACCAAAATCCAAGAGAACCCGCGCTGCCTATGAAATTCTCCTCAGCCTCATCCAGCAGCCCTTCCCCGGTCAGCCACTCTTCGGTCAGCCACTCAGTACAGTCAGGTTCATCGCCGATAAAATTCTTGAAATTCTCAAAAACGACGCCGTTGATTACCATGAGAAGAAGATCAACGTTGAGATACTTCTTAACCCTATCCCTAACCATGTCTTTGATCAGCTTGTGTCAGTTGGTAATCTTATAACTGATTTCTATGGGTTTGCTGCTGGTCATGTTGATGGCGGCGTTGTCGACGGTATTCGTAGTTTATCAATTTGCAGCCGTAACTAGAGGATTGTGCTGTAGTCACTTACTACACCGAGAAATTATGTCAATAGGTTGGTTATTGCAATACTGGACCTTCTTTTTGTTCATTTTTCTTTTGGATGAATTGAATGGTGTCAATGTTTCGTTGACTTACCAAAGCGTTCATTTTCTAATTTGGAATTTTATGTTAAGCTTTATTGTTGCTTGCATGGTTTTAAATTGCGATCTCGGATGGTTGCTGTTGTTGCAATTGTGGTCATTGTGGTAGCTGTTGTTGCGATTGTGGTCACTGTGCTAGCTGAGATGCACATTGCTGCCTGAGTTTTAATTGGGTTTTGGGGTTCTAAAATTCTTAGTGTGATAAAAATATTGAAGAAACATGGATGAAATTATCAAATGTGATTTCTAATGGTGATTAGACGCATGGTTTTAATTTACACTGCAAATGCAGTCCGATGCGACAACAATTGTGGTTGCAGACTGCAATTTAAGACATGTTTATGTTGCACTACTTTAAAATTGCGATCATGGATGGTTGCTGTTGCATGGTTTTAATTTACACTGCAATTGCAGTTCGATGCGGTTGCGGAGGCTGATGCATTATTGCAACAGCAGTTGCGGTTGCGGCCTGCAATTTAAGACATCTTTATGTTACACTACTTTGAGTCAACTGAAATTCTTTTTTCCATTGGAGATTTTCTGTTTGGTTATTCTCACAATGGTGTTAAGCTTTGAGCACAATGGATACACTTATATAGACTAAAATGTTATGTTTTACTTTTGTTCATTGTCTTTTGGAAGAATTGAGTGGTGTCATCTAATGATCCAATGACCGAAGTCTTAATTTTCCAATTTGGAATGCTGGAGAATTCATTATTATGTATTCAAGTATGTTTTTGGAACTCATAGTATGTTCATACATAATAACAACCGACAAGTACAAATGCTTATATTTCAGTATTTTATACTAAAGTGTACACATGTTTATAGCAGGCTGCAATTCTTTTTTCCATTTGAGATTTGCTCTTTGATTATTCTCAATGTTCTAAGCCATGAGTACAATTTTCAATAATGTTTTTTCAAGATATGTTTGGTTCTCTTTGATTATTTTTTAAATGTATACTACTTTTTAATAGTAATTGTCCGAAGTCCGAAGTTTGTTGGGGGCATAGTTTATTTGTTTTATGCATGATTTTGATTTTGTTGTGAATCATTTGTTCATGCTGTATTCATATTGACAGAGAAAAAATGCCGCGCTAATCCTTGGAACCTGCATGCTCATGAAGTATTTTCCTGAATAAGCTTTAAGAATAAGTTTTCTATTCACTACAACTTCCATAACTCAATGTGTTACAAAGTTATTTTGTTAACATTCATTTTTTATCTTACCGGATCAAACTTGGACCGTCACGGCTGTCTCGAGCAGAATTTGAGTAAGATGGGGGTACCTGCAAGACACTCCGATGCTAAAATGAGAGACGGAATGAGCAAGCAAAAAATGTATAGGTGCGTAATAGATGAATACATGACCCTCTTGGAACAAAGGGTATTTATAGCCCCCAGTGCCGGGCCAAGGTCCCCTCATTGGGCTGACCAGAACTGACCCAATAAAAGAACTGTCGGGTTCTACGTGCGTAGTGGGGTCCCGCACGTGGTCCCCTTTCTGGTGGTGCTCTGCGAAGAATGAGGAGGGACGAAGACGCGGTCTTTCCGGAGTTTAGAGGATTCGATAACGGTCAGAGTGATCAGAATCTGCCCTACGGGGAGGGTGCTCGAGCAGGACTCGAGCTGGAGTTCCCTTGGTCGGGGACACTATGTGTCGTGGGCATCGCGGCTACATTCTGTGGTCGGGCACGTCGGCGGTGATCCGCGGGTGCGCATTCCTCGAGGAGTTTGCTGAGATTGAGCCTTTATCTGCGCTTTGGGCCAGAGTGGACCCAGTCCAGAACAGGAGCCTCCCAAGTCGTTGCTCCAGGGGTATGAGTTATGACTTGACTTCAGCTCGCCTTTACCACGGGGATATGATACCCGGACCAGGGTTTTGCTTTTTTTGATGCGTGCTTGAGGAGTTTCTCGCGGGTTGCATTCGTAGCGTAATCCTTATCGACGCGTGCTCGGGGAATTCTTTTCGCGGGCTGTGTTTGTTGGATACACGAGGCAATCCTTGGGAACCGTGACGCCACCCTAGCGACAATAGGGTCATCATTGCCTAGGGGAATAGATGTCGAGGAGGGGAAGTTCGTGGCTCTCCGGAGCGACGTTTCGTATTCCACGTCATCCTTATAAATAGGATCCTTGGAGCCCATAATTTGTTTTTCTTCTTCGCGCTTCTCCTTCTTCCTCTGCTTCCTCCGCCGTCGTTTTCTGCAACGCCGTGAGATCACCGCACCATCCTCCGTTGATTACTCCCATTGCTGCCGTACGTTCATCTTTTCTTCCAAGTAAGTGTTCATTCCTCCTGTTTTTCTTTGTTGTAGGTAGTTTTAACGTTATTTGGATGTTAGAAACCCACATCTGGGAGTAGTGCCCGATAGATTCATGATTGTGCCCGGTAAACCCATAGTTTTAGGTACGTGACTCGCAATGCTGCTCGTGACCTTCATAGTTTTAGGCACATAATCTATGATATTGCCCGTGACATTCGTAGTTTAGGCGTATGATCTATGATATTGCCCGTCACATTCATAGTTTTGTTCGGCGTACCCATGAGCTGGTCGGGATGTTGACCCCTTAGGAAGTATGTAGGATAGTCCGTCGTGGCGTCTTACTGTCGGGCAGGCGAAGTCAGGACCTTGCTCGAGTTATTCATGTTTATTGCCTGGGGTGATCGTGATATTCCCTTGTTGTTCCCGACACCTGGTCGAGCTGGGGTGTCCGTGTTCGGCTTGTCGTGTACTACTTCCCATCACTGTGGCGAGCATGCGGATTTGCTCTCGAATTTCACCGGTTTCCTGTGCTTTGTAGGTAAATGACCGACGAACCGGAATCTTCGAGGCAAAATGAAGTCGATGACCACAATACCGAAGAGAACGTGACTTTAGTTGATACTATTGATGACCCCTCGTTGGACTGGGTGAGCGTCGAGCCCCGAGGGATTGCCTCGGCGTACTGTCGGCGTAGTCGATGTGTATATACTGTCGTCGAGCATGGCGGTAGTCAGCCAGGTTTCCAGAAGAATTTTGTTGTGATGAGGCCGTCCATCGATGCGCGAATCTGCTCAGAGTTTATTGAGTATGGGTTTCCAATGTACGAGATCATGTTTAGGGATCTCGGCCTTAAGCTCCCTTTCAGTGATTTCCAAGCCGGGGTGTTCTGCCATCTGAACTTGGCCCCTTCGCAACTTCATCCTAATTCGATCGTCTTCCTTCGGGCGTTCGAGCTGACATGCCGTTTCTTGAGGATTGGGGCGACCATTCCCCTTTTCTTCAGGGTTTTTCACCTGCAACGTCAGTCTCGAGGAGGCAGGCATAACTGGGTTTCCCTGAAACAGTCGAAGAGGCTGTTCAGGATGTATATGGATTCGGTTTGGGGCTTCAAGGACAAGTGGTACGTTCTGCAGCCGGTCACCCAGACTGCCTTGGATTCCTTGTACGAACCGGAAACCGCGGTAGTCGACGAGGACGGGGAGCCCCTCATGGACGCCGAGAATCGTCCGACAATGGGGCGTATATCCAAGTTCCCGATACATTGGTGCTCGGGCCATTACGACCATGGCACCGGGTACTATCATACGCCCGCGGGAAGCATGAGCGCCGAGGATGAAGAAGCCTATGGTATCCTTTGCAAGTATGTTGACAGCTTCTTCCCTGCTCGATGGGTCACGAGGGAGGGGGAAGATATTCTTGACGAGGATGGGTACCCGACATTCGAGGTCCGTCCCATCGACACCAAAGCGCTCGTCGAGTGCCAATCTTACGGGCAGGCCGTGGATCTACTAGGTTTCTTGCTTTTGTTTTTGTTGTTTTATTCCATTTTTGTTGTTTTTGTTTGCTTGCAACTAACCCGAGCTTTGCTCTTTTTTGCAGGCGACATGGCTGAACGACGGGAGAGGCTGTTGAAACTGACTCAGGACAAGAAAGTAAACAAAAGGCTGGTGCGAGCTCCGCAAGCCACGAGGATGGGCCCGTCGGTCAGTTCGGGCGATGCCTCTAGTGGGTCCCCGGGCTCCCCTGACGCTGAACAGCCCACCGAGCTGATTACGAGAAAGAGAAGTCGGGCTGATAACAGATCGGAGGTTGGCGACGAGTCTATGGCTGCGAGGGCCTTCGGCTTACCCCCCTGTTTTAAAGAGAAAGATTTCTTCGAGGGATTTCCTCTTTCGGTGAGCAGCGACGAGGCCGAGACTATCAAACGGCTCGACAAAGAAAGTCGGAGGAAACACCTGGCCGCCAGTATGGTCGGGATGGTGAAGATGGTCGAGATGGCCGTTGTCCTTGCCAAGGAAGGGTCGGACTCCTCGGACCGTGTCAGGGAGTTGGAGTCGGAGAAATCTGCCCTCGCTGCCAGTTCTCGTAAGTTGAAGGCGGCCCTCGAGCGGTCCGAGGAAATGTTTCGCGAACAAGCCGACCTGCTGGCGGGGGAGAAGGAACATTCCGGGAAGGTTGCTGAGGAGAGGGATTGTCTCCAACTGGACAAGGAACGCCTGGAGGCTGACAACGAACGTTTTTCTAAGGAAGTCGAGGAGCTAAAAGCTGCTATGTTTCCTGCTGATGATGAGTCGGAGGAGACATCCCCTTTGCGGACCCGTTCGGATTTGGTTGCGCGTATTCACCTCCTTGAGACAGACTGTGTTGGCGCTTTAGCAGATGAATTCGAGGCCGCGGTTAGCCAGCTCGCCATATTAAATCCGGGCATGAATACCGAGGGAGTGGGGTTCATGTCTCTGATTATTGACGGCCAGGTCAAGCCTCCTCCTGAGTCTCCTGTGGTGGATGCCGGTAGTCTCGGGAACGTTTAGCGTGGAGTTTCTGGTCGGGCATGCGTGCCCGTTTATTGGTATTTGTTTTGGGGCCTGCGTGCTGTTG